CAGCAAAGTTTAGAAAGTAGATTGCCCAAGGAGGGGTTAAAAAGGGTTTTCCTCTTAAAGAAAAGAAACAGTTCACGAAGCCAGTTGCCTGTCCCTTGTGGACAAGATTATGAAAGCCACCAGTTGATTCAAAACCTTGAAGTATTTGCTTGACTTGTTGAAGATCCAAGAAGTATTTGATTGCTTTGTTGAAGACCTAAGCAATAATAAAGGACCTTGTTAAACTTTTCAAGTTTCTAAAGATTTTGTATAGGAAAATCCTTAGGGCCTCTCAGATGAGGCACCCCGGCCTCCCGCTGGGCACAAAGAGCATGTCCTGTTCAAAAGCCATTTGCTATAGGCCCAGCGCATGACAGCAGAGGAGGCTTTCTCAAATTAGGTCTTATCCTGGGCATCCATTTCTCACCTGGTCATCTTTGGACTCATGACCAGGAGTGAACATAAAGTCTCCTGACGTTTCGCCTGCATCTGTGGCTAATGGCATCTGCAGAGGTTCTGTTGACAGTGGATCAGGGGGAGTGTATCTCTATCTATGGAATAATGTCCAAGGTGGGAGAAAGAACCCTTGTCTGTTTGAAGCAAGTGAGAATGTTGCAATTAGCGAGCTTGTATAGCTTTGAGTAGTTATGAAGCTGCAAAGTCAATCAGCGAGGGTATCTGCATAGAGCACTGGCTCCCAACCTTTGGACCTCCAGGTGTTTTGGACATCAGCTCCCACAGTTCCTAATAACTGGTAAGCTTGCTGGAGACCCAAAGGTTGGGAACCACTGGCATAGAGGTAGCTTGGCTGTTGCTGCGTGGAGGGAGGCATCCTCTGTGTAGGAGATGTTAACTGGACTTTGATTGTTTGCTGTCTGGAATTCCCCTGTTCCTGAGTGGTGCCCTTTATTTACTTCATTCTACTGTTGTTTAAATACAGTTAGCCAGATTTCCTTCCTTTTCATGGTTTCCTCCTTTCTGTTGACATTGTCTGCCTGCTTGTGGATTTCAATGGCTTCTCTGTGTTGTCTGACATGGTGGTTGTCAGAGTGGTCCAGCATGTATGTGTTCTCAAATAATATTCTTTGTCCAGGTTGGTTCATCAGTGAACACCTCTGAAACAGAGGATGCCTCCAGGCAACAGTGGCCAGGCTACCTCTATGCAGATACCTTCACTGATTGACTTTGCAAACTTAATGGCTACTCAAGTGCTATTCAAGCTTGCTAACTGCAACATTTACACTTGCTTCAAACAGACAAGTATGGCCATGTTCCAGAAGCATTCTCTCCTGACGTTTCGTCTGCATCTATGGCAGGCATCCTCAGAGATTGTGAGGTCTTTTGGAAACTAGGAAAATTGGGTTTATATATCTGTGGAATGTTCAGGGTGGGAGAAAGAACTCTTGTCTGTTGGAGCTAGGTGTGAATGTTTCAATTGGACACCTTGATTAGCATTTAATGGCTGAGCAGTTTCAAGGTCGAGAAGATCCAACCGGTGCATACTTCAGGAAATAAATCCCAACTGCTCATTGGAGGGAAGGATATTAGAGGCCAAGATGAAGTACTTTGGCCACAAAAGGAGAAGACAGGAAAGCTCAGAGAAGACAATGATGCTGGGTAAAGGAAAAAGGAAGAGGGGCCGACGAAGGGCAAGATGGATGGATGGTCTCCTTGAAGGGACTGGCTTGACTCTGAAGGAGCTGTGGGTGGCCACAGCTGGCAGGGAGCTCTGGCATGGGCTGGTCCAGGTCGTCACGAAGAGTCGGAAATGACTAAACGAATAAAAAACAACAGTTTCAAGGTCTGACTTCTTATTGCCTGGGGGAATCCTTTGTCAGGAAAGAATGCTTCTTGAACATGGCCATACAGCCCAGAAAACTCACAATAACCCAGTGATTCCAGCCATGAAAGCCTTCGACAATACAGTGAAGGTATTGTTTTATATGTTTTAAATGTTTTAATGTATTTTATAATTCTATTTAAATGTTTTCATTGTTAATTGTTTTTGAAGGCATCTAATAGTTGCCTAAGTGAAAGCCACCTTGAGTCCCCCTCAGGGTGGAGAAAGGTGGGTTAGAAATGTAAATAAATAAATAAATACACGAGGTAAGGTAAAGGTTAACCCCTGACATTAAGTCCAGTTGTGTCTGACTCTGGGGTTGGTGCTCATTTCCGTTTCTAAACCAAAGAGCCAGCGTTGTCCGTAGACACCTCCAAGGTCATGTGGCCGGCATGACTGCTGGGAGCGGTAGATGGCATGTGTTCTGTATTTCAAAAGCTAGAGCTGACAGGTGAAAACTGGTGTCATTCTCAGAATCGAAAGGTCAAATACACCCAGAAACAGGGCTAGCATGGAGCACCATTATAGCTAGAATACTGTGTGGAGCAGAACCCCGTTAGTGGTCTGTTCAATTCCTAAGGAAGGCTAGTTCAGGGTTTTGGCTAGATTCCTAAGGGGGATTTTTGGGAGTTACTTTCAGAGATTCATTTCCTGAAGTAATTTTCTGTGTTGAAACTTTTAAGACTTGTAACCCAGAAGTTTTTAAGATCTTTACTCAAACACAACCACAAGCTTTTTATGCCAGTATTTTACTGAAACCATTAAGCATTTGTACCTGAATATTTCAAGCCTGTTCAATAAACGTTCTTGTTATTTTTATCAACGTATACCAGCCTTGGTGTGAATACCTTTGTGGTCAAAGCAATATTCAAGTCAGCTTTCAGCAGCCTCTAAGAAAATTATAGTGACACAGAGTGTGTTCACAGAACAAACTCTCAACATAAACTCAGCCTGTTTATTATTAATATGGTGGCAGCGGAAATCTTTTGAAGAATCATTTTATGTCTCTCAGTTCCAGTGGTTCCCAGTTCCTAACTTTTAAATAGACAGTTGGTTCAGCAACCATACTGCCTCTATATTTTGGTGAGCTAGTCTGTAGTGGAGGTGTTATCGTTATAATTCGGCTGAGCAGCGTTGGGATTATATATATTCCCGTATATAAATTTAATTTAAAATCTTCTCTACTACTCACTGTTTGTTATAGTGAGCCATGTAGAAATATGTGAAAAGGTGTCATAAGTAAAAGGGAGCAGGCTTGCTCTCTGCTGCCCTGGAAACTAGGACTCAGTGGAGCCATGGGTTCAAATGACAGGAAAGGAAATTCCACCTGAACATTAGGAAGAACCTCTTGACAGTAAGAAGAACTATTCAGCAGTGGAACTCTTTGCCTCGGAGCCTGGTGGAAGCTTCTTCCTTTGAGGCTTTTAAACAGAAGCTTGATGGCCATCTACCAGGGAAATTTGATTGTGCTTTTCCTGCATGGCAAAGGGTTGGACTGGATGGCTCATGTGGTCCCTTCCAACTCTATTATTCTATGATTCTATCCTTTATCTGTGCATTTTTCTTGCCCGAGTGTAGAGCCATACATTTCTTCCTGTTGAAATTCATTTTGTTAGTTGGTCAGTCGAAATCTACCCTTCTGCAACCTCAAAGGGTTAGACCTGGTCCTACCTTCCAGGCCAACAGGAAAAACAAGCCTTTTCTCTATATTTAGAAGATGTCAATATTTGAAATCGATATATAAATAATGTGAATACAATTTGACAATTTGGACTCAGATTCAATTTTTGTAATATCTATGCCAGCATTTTTCAATCTGGGATAGAAGGTTTCAGAAGGCTCTTTGATTGTAGGTGAACTATAAATCCCAGCAATTAAAATTCACAAATGTCAAGGTCTATTTTCCCCAAACTCCACCAGTGTTCACATTTCGGCATATTGTGTATCCATGCCAAGTTTTGTCCAGCTCCATCATTGTTTGAGCCCACAGTGCTCTCCGGATGTAGGTGAACTACAACTCCAAAACTCAAGGTCAATACCCACCAAACCCTTTCAGTATTTTCTGTTGGTCATGGGAGTTCTGCATGGCAAGTTTGTTTCAATTCCATCGTTGGTGGAGTTCTGAATGCTCTTTGATTGTAGGTGAACTATATATCCCAGCAACTACAACTCCTAAATGTCAAAGTCTATTTTCCTCAATTACAACTCCAAAATGTCAATGTCGATTTTCCCCAAACAACACCAGTGTTCACATTTGGGCATATTGAGTATCTGTGCCAAGTTTGATCCAGATCCATCATTGTTTGAGTCCACAGTGCTCTCTGGATGCAGGTGAACTACAACTCCAAAACTCAAGGCCAATGCCCACCAAACCCTTCCAGTATTTTCTGTTGGTCATGGGAGTTCTGTGTGCCAAGTTTGGTTCAATTCCTTCGTTGGTGGAGTTCAGAATGCTCTTTGATTCTAGGTGAACTATATATCCCAGGATTACAACTCCCAAGTGTCAAAGTCTATTTTCTTCAATTACAAGTCCAAAATGTCAATGTCAATTTCCCCCCAACTCCAGTATTCACATTTGGGCATATTGAGTATCTGTGCCAAGTTTGATCCAGATCCATCATTGTTTGAGTCCACAGTGCTCTCTGGATGTAGGTGAACTGCAACTCCAAAACTCAATGCCAATGCACACCAAACCCTTCCAGTATTTGCTGTTGGTCATAGGAGTTCTGCGTACCAAGTTTGGTTCAATTCCATCGTTGGTGATGTTCAGAATGCTCTCTGATTGCAGGTGAATTATAAATCCCAGCAACTACAACTCCCAAATGACAAAATCCACACACCCACCCCCAACACCACCAGAATTCAAATTTGGGCATATTGGGTATTTGTGCCAAATTTGGTCCAGTGAATGAAAACACATCCTGCATATCAGATATTTACATATAAATTCATAACAGGAGCAAAATTACAGTTGTGAAGTAGCAAAGAAAATAATGTTATGATTGTGGGGTCACCACAACATGAGGAACAGGATTAAGGGGGTCGCAGCATTAGGAAGGTTGAGAAACACTGATCTATGTGATGATGATGGTGATATAATTGCAAATTGCAACCCTGCCTTTGTTATGTGCCCAACGGTCCAGGATATTTATGCTTTTTGATCAAAAGCAGAGCAGTGGTTTATTCTTTGGAGAGCTTTCAAGCAACCAAAGGGGTGGTCTGAGATTTGGAGAGCCAGGCAACATTTTCGAAGTCTGTGGCTTTCTATATTTATGAAGAGATAATGTGCATTTCTGTCTTCCTTTTCCCCCTGAGCTCCACAACCGAGCATCTGTCCAGACTTTTGACAGCAACCTTTCCGCTCTCCCTGGCGTTGCTTCTTCCTTTCTTTCTTTCCTTCTGCCAGAATCAGAAGCAAGAGGGGAAGACTTGGAAAGGATGCTTTCCAAGTGAAGGCATGGGGAGGGGAGTGACTTGAAGGGGAGGAAGGGAGGAAGGAAGGAAGGAAGCCTGCCTCCTCTTCTTTCTTTCCACTTTTTTATTTTTGGTGCATCTGGTCCTCTTGCCATCTGAGTGAGCAGGTCGCTCAGCAAAAGGGCACATCTTCGCAGCCATCGCTCTCTTTGGGGGAAACATCCTTGAAGTTGCTGAATTATCTCTTTGCAAATCCAAGCCTTTGAAGAAAGCATCTCTTCAGAAGCTGAAGAAGAAGCCCTTTGAAAGGAAGGAGTCCTGAGCCTGGAGAGAAGAAGATGCTCAGCCCAGGAGAGCCAAGCAAAGGCATCTCCTCCTGCCTCGCAGGTAAGGCTTCCCTGGAAGACCTTTGGGATTTAAAGTTCCCCAACTGGAGGGAGCAAAGCAATCTCAGCTTGGGTTTGTTTAAGGAGTGGAATGAGCAAAAGGGAATCTATTGGGGAATGGAAGAGGATATCTTTCCTTCTTGGGCAGTATTTCTCTCTGTGTGTGTATGTATGTATATTATATACATATATGCATACATACACAAACAGACCAAGGGCAAGATGGATGGATGGCATCCTTGAAGTGACTGGACTGACCTTGAGGGAGCTGGGGGTGGTAACTGCCGACAGGGAGCTCTGGCGTGGGCTGGTCCATGAGGTCACGAAGAGTCGGAGACGACTGAACAAATGAACAACAAACACAAACAGAGAGAGAAATAGTACCCAAAGCTTAATCTTTATTACATTTTCAAAAATGGAACTTTAATTCAGCACATTGAAAATCAAAACAAAAATAGACCCATTTTTCCTACTTCCAACAGACCTCACTACCTCTGAGGATGCTTGCCATAGATGCAGGCGAAACGTCAGGAGAAAAATTGCTTCCAAAACATGGCCATATAGCCTGGAAAAACCTACAACAACCCAGTGATCCCGGCCATGAAAGCCTTCAACAATACAAAAATAGACAATTACATTTTTTAAAATCAAAGCATAAATACTTTTGTTCTGTTGAAGGCTGTCAGACCTCACAACCTCTGAGGATGCCTGCCACAGATGCAGGCGAAATGTCAGGAAAGAATGCTTCAGGAACATGGCCATACAGCCCGGAAAACTTACAACAATGCATAAATATTTTTCTCTCTGTGTATGTATGTATGTATATGTGTGTGTGTATATATATAGGGGGGGGGAGGCATCTCCTCCTGCCTTGCAGGTAAGGCTTCCCTGGAAGACCTTTGGGATTTAAAGTTCTCCAAGGGGAAAGAGCGACGCAAACTCAGCCTGGGTTTATTTGGGGAGAGGAAGAGGGAAAGGGAATCTATTGGGGGGATGGAGGGCAATATTTCTCTCTCTCTGTCTCTCTGTATATATTTGTGTGTGTATATATACACATAGATACATATACACAGAGAGAGAGAAATAGTACCCAAAGCTTAATCTTTATTACATTTTCAAAAATGGAACTTAAATTCAACACATTGAAAATCAAAACAAAAA